GTTACCTGATAGGATTCCTTCCTCACACCATAGCCAACTGAAGACTTTTTCAGACATTATCTGATTAATATGTTGGAAGCATTATGTGGAAGCATAGCAATAAGGGATGAACTAGTTCAGAGAAACAAAAGACATGAGTTGAGTCTCAGTTCTCTAAGCTATTCAATCAAACCTGCATTTTTATATTCACATGTATGCAGTACAAGATAGGAGCATTTATTTCACTTTATTTGCCCAAAATATATATACTTGTTTATTAAAACTGTTCAGCAATAAATCCTGTTCCCTTGTTTTTTTTCTGTTTGCCAGTCTACATCCAGAATTCAGCTCCTCATCTCAAAGACACTGCTCTCTCTCTTATTCCTGCTGTAAACTAAAAAACAAACAAAAAATAAATCACAGCATAGTGTCTCTATTCTCCTTACAGCACAAGCCATTAATGGACAAGCTACTTTGCCTCCAGGAAGTTGTAGTCTTTTGAATTTTGACTAAAATTACCCCTACAGTCCATAGTGAAAAAGAAATATGCCATTCTACATTCATGCCACCATATGTTCATTTCTAATGCTTGAATTTTTGCCTGTCAGGAACAGGAACTTTCTTTGGTCTGTGTTTGCACAGAATGGGATGCAGTTAGCATTGCTTCTGTCCTTAGAACACCTAAACACCACAAGCATGCAAATATTCAATATATGAACGAGCAACAATTGAAATATAATTTTATTTGCTTACAACAATACAGCTGTGTAACCAATGTCATCTATCTATTGGCTTGCATAATACCCAGATTTCTAAGGTGTCTTCCTTGTTCATAATTAACACTAGTTTTGATGAGTTCTTTTAGTCTCTTCAAACTGATCAGAACATGTTCTCTGAAAGCACTTAAAATTGGATGATTTCTGTGGGGGTTTAGTTGGGACTCCACAGAAAGTCATGTGGCGAATATTCTCTTCTTGGCAGAATTACTCATGAAAACATGCAATTCCTTCCCCACAAATACTTTTGTATGCAGAATATCAGAATTTCAGAATATTTGTCTTTCGGCCAGTAAAAGTCAATCTCACACATTTGCAGACAGCAGTCCAAAGGGCCTTGTGTTTGGCGAGAGCACATTTATTAAGGCAAAGGATAATTTTCAGTGTTTGAAGAGCTCTGCATGTTATGCTTTTCCAGTACATCTATTTGCCATTTGACACGAATGGACATGGCTACAAGAAACATGTGACTCAACAAATATCTGTCAGTGAAGGGTAGGAGTCAAGAAAGTGTTAAGTGTGGAAAGGCAGAAGTAACAGTGTACTGCACTGGAGGAGGAAAACAAAAAGTGTGAGGGAAAGAAAGAAAAAAGAAAAATAGGACTTAATATGCAGACTAAAATGAACTCACCATCACGGGACTAAAACAGGAGAATGATGAAATAAATTACAGTGAAGTTTGGACAGGACTGAACTATAAAAGGAGCCTGTATATGAAAACCATGGGAATTACCATGTCAGAACACCCTAGAATCAACTTACTTAGTGCAAAAATGAGCAAAAAGAACCTTTTAGGCTAGTTGGGCTATTCGTTTCCTCATTATTCGCATTTGTTTGCATCCATTCTGAAAATACTAGCACCTTCTCACAATAAAACTTCATTTTGCAGCCAGCGAGGGAAAAAAAAAGGTTGCAATAGATCTCACCAGCTTCAATAACACACCAGCAGATGGAAACAAACAAAAAACACCCTCTCTTCATCTGCTTTATCTCGTTTTGCATAGCTGTTCCAGAGATATGTCCTTGCTGCTGTGCGATAGCAGCGCCTTAAATGACTAACATCCTGTCTCTGACCTCAACTTCTTGAGCAAAGTCTTTGAGGCATCTGTGACGAGCATACCCCGTCATCATGTGGTCTTTGCCCTAGCTCTCTCAGCCACAGACATCTATTCAACATGGAAATGGCCGAGGCTGACCAAGCTAACTCTCTTGTCATGGCCATGGAGAAAAGATTAACAGCACTGTTGGTAACTGCTGGGTCTGCTGCTAGACTTCAAAAGCCACTGCCATGGAAGCTAAACTCTAAAGCAACCCCTGAGCGGCCATGGGGAGTTGTACAATAAAAAAGAGAATTTTCAATATTTCTCAACAGTAAATACAAACTTATTTACTTTCCCTTCCCTTTTAAGTGTTTCTGTTGTTACCTCCTTCTGCACTCACTGAATGGGCACAGCTAGCCATAAGAACAGAGCCTGGCTTGGTTTCTCAGGCAATTACTCTATTGTTCAAAGGGCAACAGAAGTTTCTTTCTGTGTAATAAGGGACAGTAGCAGCAGGAAAGATATGTTGCCTGGAGTTAAGTTGGAAAGCTTTGTTTCCCCATTCCAGTAGGAACAGAAGGGAAACTTGTAGCTTAATTCTCAGTTTCCTTTCTTGTCACCATAATCCATCCCTTGAAGCTATTTTAACGTGATGTTTTATATGTGAATTTCCTCATATTTATTAAGAATTATCTTTCTTAAAAAAAAAAAAATCATGTCCCTGAGAAGGTGTATGAAAATGAATGGGAAAGACTTTTGTGGATACTGAGAAGGTGGATTTCAGAACATAAAAAAATGGCTTTCATACACAGACACACAAATCCCAAGGGCACAGATAGAGTTGGAACATAGGTTTCATCAGCCTGCATTAGTTTTGAAGGAATTGTCTACTGATTATAAAACAGGCTAGGATATAGACTGTGACTTGCTCAAAAGAAAGAAAAAACCCCACCTTTAAGCACACTGTAGAAAAGAACAAAAGAAAAAGATTCCTGATTGTGAATGAATTCTTGTGGTGCACAGTATTTTTCAAGTATGGTTTGGCTTAAATCCCATAAAATAAGAATGGACAGTAAAATACGTGAGTAGTTTCTTCTAAAGTCCTTATTACACAGGAACAGCAGTCATTTCTCAAAGAGAAATGTCTTGTCCAATCTGAAGTTATTGCCAAAATACCATAGGCAAATACACAATATTGTCGCCTCAAAAAATCCCAGTTTCACAGTTCCAAAATTACAGTTCATTCCTATATTTTCACTCTTGTCAAAAAGAGGCCTTGGTAAGGAAAAAAACCCAAGTCTTCCCCCTGTTACAGTGGGCTGATGAGAGGCTGTTTCAAGTTGCACCACTGAGCAGGAACAGAAGCAAGTATGGACATCCTGGACATAGAAATCTGTAGCATTTTTACAGGAATCTGTAAATAGGTTGCCTTGGCTTCTACCTTGATGCAGATACACCTCTTTACCTCTTCAAGACACTGCCTGACAAAAGGAGGAGGAGGAGGTTACACCTACCCTTATAGGCTCCCATTAATCAGTAAATCTAACCAGTTCTTGGGTGAGGGTGAGGCATCTGTAGCGATCTGATTCATAAGATCCTCCTTCTAACCACAGAATCACAGAATATGCTGAGTTGAAAGGGACCCATCAGGATCATCAAGTCCAACCCCTGGCCCTATGCAGGACACCTCAATAATCACATCATGTACCTGAGAGCATTGTCAAAACTCTTCTTGAACTCAGTCTTGGTGCTGTGACCACTTCCCTGGGGAGCCTGTTCCAGTGCGCAACCACACTCTGGGTGAAAAACTTTTTCCTGATATTCAACCTAAACCTCCCCTGACTCAGCTTCATGCCATTTCTTCAAGTCCTGTCACTGGTCACAAGAGTGAAGAGACTGCTACTTGCCCCTCTGCTTTCCCTCATGAGGATGTTGAAGACTGCAATGAGGTCTCCCCTCAGTCTCCTCCAGGCAGAACAACCAAGTGACCTCAACTGCTGCTCATATGACTTCCCCTCAAGACCGTTCACCATCTTGGTGGCCCTCCTTTGGACACTCTCTAATAACATTATTTCCCTTCTCATGAAGTGCATCCCCAGGGAACAAGCCAACCTTCAAAAGGGTTACGAGTTCCAAACCCTTTGAGCATTTCCATAAGTAATTTCAGCAATCCTTGCCACCCTTTAACAGTGAAACAGTCAGTTAGTACTTGTTACCAGCAGTTTCTCCTGACTCACAGATGTTCACATGAGGGGAGAGCTGCTCTACCTGTTCCACTCACCTTCAAAAGGGGTGAGAGGAAAGGAGAAAATAGGCAGGATGGGGAAATGGGAAGGATGGGGAAAATGGGAGGGATGGGGAAAATGAAATATTCCATAGACAGTCCTATGTCAACCAGAGTAACTGCACTTGGGACAGACCAAGGAACTTCCCCTCTGCAAGAAGGGGAGAAAAGGGAACAATGGAACAACATCATCTACTGGGTGGAATTTGTGTAAATTATTATTTCATAGACTACTTAACATGTGAGATACCATTCATTAGCTGTCATGCTGGGGAATAAGTCCAACAAGCTACCTTGCATGGAGGGATGGTTCTACCAGCAGTTTTGCTTTTTGGGTGAAACCAAGTGGAGTTTCCCTTGTCTGCCATGCAGTGTTGTGGTCTTTCTCCCGTGCTGGGACTTCATGACCTAGATGCAAATCAGGCCATGTTGTTCAGCCAGAGCAAGTAGAAAGAGTTCAGGAGAGAGGCCACAGGTCTGCATTTGCACGAGTTATAGTCTTACCTGTAGGGAAGCACGAAATAGGAATTGTTTTGGAAGAATCCCATGGTTGAAGCATGAAACTTGGCTGCCTGATACCCAACAAACAACAACGACCGTGACATGTTTTACGATGGATCTTTTCGTTCTGAGTGCCACATGCAACCCGTCATGTTGGCAGCTCTTTTGGCAGACAGAACTGAAAGACAAAGTGCCTTCCCATCCAGCCCACTCTGTTCTCTCTAGATCACACAAAGCACATTTTTTGAGCAGTGGTAGGACTTTATTTACTCCAGGCAAAGGCACAGTTCTCTCCAGCCCGAAGAACACCGTATCAACGGGAGCTTTGGTGAAGCCTGCAATCAAGGCCTAAGAATTCAGGTGTGAGTTATTAAAAAAGCACAATACCAATCTTATATTATGATGATGATAATGTGGTACCTTTTCCTTCCTTCTGACATCTCTTTCTTTGTACAATACATTTTCTGCTCTCGCTTGTAGCTGGGCAGGGATTACCCTTTGCTGATGGATGCTGTACGATCTCTCTGACCCTTACTTCATTTCCTCTTTTGAAACCACATGTTTTTCCTTTCTTTGTGCAAGGGCTCCATGGACTCCACTCACTAGCTTCACAGTGCACTGCAATAAATATAGGACAAACTGAGCCTGGCCAATATATTTTTGTATACACAATATATATGGTACATTAATTTTATTCTGCATCAGCCAAAAGGTGGTAAAAACTAATGAAATTAATTAGCAGTGACATACAGCAAAGAATTGACAGAAATTGGACAGCTGAGGATATACAGCACAAAATAATGTCAAATAATTATGTCAGTTACTACTTTCTACTGTCTATTTTGTAATTCAATTCCTGAAACAAGGCAACAATAACACAATTGGTCTCAATTAAATCAGTTATTGGAGTTTGTTCTTAGGTTCCTTTGGCTTGATGCAGGTACAAACCCTTGTAGCTTCAGTGGAATTAAACTTTGGTCATGCCTGTGTGAAAGGTGACTGAAGTTATTGGGTCAAGCTGCTGCAGCTGGTCTCAAAGATATTGAATTTGGAAATCAATAGTTATAAAGGACCTACTGATATTGAAAGATGCTACAGTAGGAGTCAAGTATCTTTGGTGATCTGCTGCTTGGTATTCAGCTTAAATTGTGAAAGAGCCATCATCTGTAGTATATACAAGCTGGAAATACGCAAAACAGAGGAGAACTTGGATTGGGATGAGTTTTCAAACTTTTCTGAACAGCGTAGGTTACAGTTTCTAAATCAGAGTGATGGGAATGTGCATCCTGTACTATTTGGAACTCAAAATGTGTGTCGCTGCACACTTGTCCAAACAGTGTAAACAAAAATAGGAGTAATTTTGGAAGCTTAACAGTAATAGCTATCCTTGTCTTGTGCCATCTCCTCAGTATCTTTCTCTTGATAAAATATAGTAAATATTTATATTTACTTTATGTATAACTGTGTATTTAAGATTATAAGTCATCATTGAAGAAGGAAAGACTTCCAGCCCCTATATAAGGAGGAATTTGTAAGTCAGTATTTTTCCAGTTCCAGAATTTACTTCTGAATTTTCCAAAACCTAGAAAATACAACTGACTTCAGGTGATCTCTGAGCCTTCCTTCAGTGAATTATCATGTGGGTCATTTTTTTTCATATTACACTGGCACTGTCCTGTTAAAATAATTGACTTTCATGTGCACAAAAAGGTTCTGTTTTTACTCCATAGCTTTAAATGGCTTTTCTTACTTGAGTCTGACTCATTGTTAAAGCAGCTAAGTGTACAGCACTTGGAAACAGCCTCCAATAAACAAAAATGATCCCTTGAATTTCTTTCAAAGGTGAAAGTCTTTGCTTGAAAATAAAACTGTGAAAGCCTACACTACCACCTGAACTAATATATATTTTAGAAGGAAAATGCCAAACTAGTGCACATTATTTTTATTCCTACATTACTTCCCCTCCAAAACATTTGATGCCAGGGAGAGCTATGTGCATGATACTGTGGGGGAGGAGATTTCCATCATGGACAGACTGTGCCTGAGTGCTCCCTGGTTACTAGTGGCTGAAGAGGTTACTGCTTGCACCATAGTTCACAGCCCTCAGCCACCACAATTCACAGCCAATATACTAAAATAAGCTGAACGCTGCTGCAGCTTCGGTGTGCCCATGGGATGCTAGCTGCACTAGCCCAGAGGCAAATATATCAATCAGTCTTCTTTCAGTTGAAGGGGTGGCAGAGGGATGGAGCAGACAGTTAGGTGTGGTGACCTCCAAAACTGACCCTGAGTGCATAATCGGAGCTTGTGAGTCAGAGGTTGTAGATACAAAAGCAGGTCTCTTTTCCACAGCCAGTGAGTCACAGTGACATCAATCTCACTACTTCAGTGTCAGTGCCACCCTATTTGGTGTTTTATTTTCATTCCCATTTTCTGGACTCAGGTGATTATGCACATATACCATTTTGGGGATTGGGGTTTTTTGGGGGTGTGTGTTTCCTTAACATTTTAGTTGCTAGCCTTCACCTTTGTGAAGTTAAGCTTCAAAGTGTTGTCGCATGCATACTTTGAAGACTCAGGGAGTACAAGGGAGCTAAAGCAAAGCCATGAGTATTTTAATCTTTCAACTACATATGGGGTCTGATGCAGGGTTTTAGAACCTTTGATGTTAGTGGTGCTGCATAACACTGTAACAAAGCAAGTAAGAGATATACGCCATTCTGCCTCAGGGCAGACCAAACAGGCCATATCTCCTGTAGTAGAGCATCAAGGCTGTGTTTGTGGGCCACAATCAGGTTTGTACCTCTTGTGAAGCAGCAGATTTGGGCAATACCTTGACTTTTTTTGTGCTGGGGAATACATCTTGTTATGCAGAACATTTTCAAGTTGCACTTCCCTGGTGTTCTAAGTGGACATGCCTTCCTTAGATTCCCCATCCCCTGTGAGAAAACCGGGCAGAATTGTGGGGACTGGACTTACTGATGCTAGTGCACTCCATCGTGTGGTTGTTGGCTTCCAGCCCATCAGGACACTTTTCAAGGCACTTTCCACTGTATAAGTAAAACCCACTTTTACACTTTGTGCAGAAGTTTCTGGTGAAGCAGGTATCACAGTCAGCTTTACATTCTGAAATGCAAACAGTAAACAACAATGTTATTGCTCTTTGCCATGAAATAGCATGGGCTCTCTCACATATACAAGAATCACACAATTCTAACAATGTCAATCTTCAAAGGAAGCAAATTATATTTAGATCTTCTTCATGGCCTGTACGCACAGTGAGGCCAGCCACAAATGACCTCGGCATGGGTGAGGATTTAAAAAGGATCACCTGATGCTGAACAACCTCACACTGATAATCTTCTTGAAGACCTATGCAAATGGCAGACAGAGCACAGCACATGAGAATAACAATATACTGCTTCTGCCCTACACTGACAAAGCATAGGGACACAAGTACCAGGTCAGCTCCACACTATCTCCATTCATCCAGGAGAAATAAAAATATGCCAGAATTTAGAATCTGCTTTGGGCTGTTTTGAATCAACATATCTTTCTTTTTTCTTCAAATGGCTCCCTGATGTTCAATCAGATGTCCTCTAGTATTTCATGTATTATCTACATGACTACCCAAATTTGCATTACTATTTCCCAGTTCTCAGAAACTTTTAGGAGAAATGCATAAAACCTCATGTATGGCACAGCTCATGTCTGATATGCAAGGCCACACACTGCTAAAAAGTGAGCAAATACTTTACAGTGTCAAGTTACTCTGTAAGACTTTACTCTGGGGTCCATTCATTAAATAACTTTTATTACCAGGTAAAAACTGGGAGAGTTTCTTGGCCGTCGCTCTTATGTTTTTATATCACCTGTGGGATTAAAAACAGTGAATTCAACAACAAAAAGAGGAGTGGGGAGGACATTGCGATCTTTTCCAGTTCATTTATGGTTCAAAATCCATACTGGGGTCAAAATGTTGCCTGAGTGGTAAAGCACAGAGTTGGCTTCTCTGTCCCCCAGCCCGGAGACAACATGAATCAGTAACTTCCCCCAAATCAGGCTGAAAGCTGGCCAGCTGAAACCTGGCCAGCTTCTACAGGCATTTAGAGGACTACACTGAGTGTGAGACAAGCTATAAAGAGACCAGGGCAAACCACATCTCTGAAGAATGCCACCTGCCATCTTCTCTCCTTGTCTCAGGGATCAGGTGGGTAAGGGCAGAGGGTTAAACAGCTCCAGCCACCAAGATTCAGCATTCCTTGGTCCCCGCTTGCTCTTCAGTGATGTTGTCGTTCCCTTGCTGCTGGAGGGCAGTGCCTGGTGCCCACTTGTGCTTCCTTTTCACATGGAGTTGTAGAGGAGGAGGCCATTACGTGGATTCTAGGCAGGTCATTCATGCAGAGCTGGGATCCCTGAGCTTTAGGCCATTTTGTGATCTTTCACCTTAGCTTCTTGCTTGGGTTAATATTTACTGCACTACTATAAAGAACTGAACATTAAAGACATGGCCTGTCCGTCTGCTTCTCTGTTGACTTGACTCCTAAGGGGACACAGCATTCAAGAGAAAACAACAAATCCATGAGCTTCCCCTTTCCCCAACACTTACTTGCACACTTATTAATGTCGGGATACCGTGTCCCATAATATCCGCTTGGACACGAAGAAAGACATACTCCAATCTGTTTCATGCCAATCCTCTCCAGAACAAAAAAGAGCCTGGGCTTACATGACAGGCATCCATTGTAGTCAGAACATGTAGCACACCCTCCTTGGCAACCCTGGCTCACGTTAGGATGCACTGAGAAGACAAGCATTAAAGAAAACAAACTGTGAGAGAACAGGACATTAGACAAGACTATGAAATAATGGTTCCTCTGTGCTTCGAAGGGTGGGCCATCCATCTCTCTGACAGCATTTAAAGATTGCTTCATTTTTCTCTGTGTTGCTTATGACCTGACTTTCCATTTCAGAGATTATTTCATTGGTATAAAAAATAAAAAAAATGAGCAGCTCAGCTGATATGTTCACATCTTGAAGAAATAGTTAACAGCAAATAATATTTGAAATAGATTGTATGGAACAGCAGCATCCTAGAGAACATTTATTTTTCTTTTCCTTATTTTCAGTGGCTTTTCTGCCTTGTATGCATTTGGCTCAGCAGATAAATACATGTTCATTTATCCTTGCTTTTCCTAGCTGGATGATTAAAAATCAGTCTAGTGTATAATTTCCTTCATTGACTAAATGCCATTTGATTAAGTTCTGCTGTGCAGGAATATGCCCTTGTAAAATCGGACGATAATTTGCCTTAATAAAAAGACGCAGGAGAGCCATACTTCTCGCCCTCCTTCTTTTCCTGGAATGTTCTCCATGGCATGTTTTTAATCTCTAACAATTACAACCTGATGTTTAGACTTAACTGTGGCATTTACCCTGCTCCGGTCCCAGCACGGAGCATAGGTAGGATTATATTTGTCTCTCAATTGAATTTTTCTAATTCTTCAGACAAGGAAAGGGAAACTTATTACACTCACTGCTTAAATTCTTCAGGGGCTTGGGGATAGCAGAAAAGAGGATGCTATTGCAGACTATCTTTTCAGTAGCAGACATTAATCAGTGTATTACTTCTTAGTGGCAGAGAATAAAGTTTTGCACCTTCCTGTACTTTAGAAGTTGTTACCTACTTTTAATTTCTCCCTGCTTGCTTTCTTAAATAAATAAGAAGTAGAAAATAATTAAGCATCAAGTAGCTACAGACCCCGTGTCCCCTCTTTTTTGGCCTTGTCTTGTACAAAAAACCCAGGCATTTTTCTAAGTGTAAGCTTTCATCTCTCAGCCTGAGACATCTGGTTATATTTCATATATAGGAGAAATACAGTCCTCATTTACATTTGTAACTTGTATTTGTAAATACCAGCAGCTTTCTGTTCTGCCTTCTCCTCAGGCCGGTGATAATGTTATAAATATGCACATGCCATGCTTTGATTGTCTGTTTTAGTGCTTTGATTTAATACTGGTCTTCAGACACTGCTAAATAGCTTGCATACACAATGAACTTGCTTTTGTCAACTCCCTTCTGTGGATCCCTTGGAGTAGACCAGAAGTCCAAGTGAATCCATGGCTTATGTGTTGAGAGGCACTACTACCTGCTGCTCAGGTGGGTTTGTCTAGCAAGGAAGTTCAGGAATACCTCTGTACTTTGTTCACTTACACTCTTGGCAGAAAACACGTCCCATGAATGCAAAAAGCATTCCTCTGTGCTCTGAGGTTTCAATGACAAGTCCTGCAATCTGAAGAACCTCAAAGGGAATTCAAGTTCACTTTTTCTCTTTCATTAATAAAATGAGGAATGGGGGTTATTTCTCTCAGTAGGGCTGGACATGTAGGAAAAGTGCAAACTTTGACCCTGATGTGCATAACAATTCCAGTGAGAATATAAGAGCCCAATTCTCTGTGTGCCTCAAAGTACCCATTTTGCAGCACAACCTACAGGAAAGTATTTTTACCATGAGGACACAGCACTACTTACTGTGAGAATAAATGGCATTCTGCATGGTGAGAAGTTGCAACATAAATTCAGTTATCAGACTTACTTTTACTAGACTTTCAAAATACTGAGTACTCAATAAATATAACATATTTCTTTCTGAAAATATTCCAGAGGTACAGAGCTTATTCATTTTGAAATTAAGAAACTGGAAAATAGTTTTTCTTTTTAAAGTTAAGTAAAGGAAAACCTCCTTGCCTCTCTCTCCTCTGTCTTGTGGATCTTGTAGGAAACTACTTTCAAAGGAAGACAAAGTAATGTGATCTAAGGAACTGATATTATTTAAAAACTATCTGTGACTTTCCTTCATTAAGTCTGACAGATGAAAAAGCAGCTGAAGTACAAAATATTTGTCATCAAAGCTGCTGTATAAAATATGGATGATCACTTTTGATGGGAAACATATTATGTGTGAGCACCTGTGACATGTCATTATGAATAGATCCTCTTGACAGAGAAAACATTATGTGCAACTGCTCTGAGGTCAAGCTGTGTGTGTGAGACGAGACAGGCAATACTTCATTATCAAAATATGATAATTCTCTATAGCTAAGATCCATTACAATTTCCATCTCCCCTTTAACTGCAGAAGTATTAAGTATAAAATATATACTCCTAGCCATTTCCACAATTCCTGCCTCTTTTTATGCATTGCAGATGCTTCTTATACAAAAAACACAGCAAAAAAAGAAAAAGCCTGTAGTTCCAAATGGAGAATTTTATTGCTAGTGTTATGAAGCAAGGCATAAGATAAACTATGCAAGTCAAGCTCCATCTAAAGGTTGATTTCATGTCATGTTATAACTAAATGTGTGAAGCCAAATAAGCTCCTGTTCTTGGAAATTCTTAGAGCAAAAGTCTCGTTGAAAAGTCAGAATTAACATTTTAAATTAAGTAAGCATTTTTTCTCTTAAAAGCTATTAAAAGGATGCTTTTTTTGATTGTCTCCATCTGTGCCTGGCATTTCTTTGAGACCTGTATCTGTACTGTACCTGTAATAAAACAGTCTCTCATTGCACTTTCTCTGAATGCTAGGTAGACCCTTATTCTGGCTCAAGCAACAATCAAAGCAGGGACAGCCAAGTGCTCCAGAAATTGACACTGTTTAAAAGCACAGCACTGGGCTTTGTCATTGAATCTGGGAAAAAACAAATGGTGGCGCATGTTTGAAATTAGGCATTTCCAAGCTGCAGCTGAAGATCTCATTCTTGTTACCTCTCAGCCTCCTCCCTGTCTAGTTCAGATCCAGATGCTTTCCTGATCTCTGCAACGTAGGGCACTCCCCTCCCGCAAAGGTTGAGTGGGATTGAAGGGGTTCCAGAGGGAGACAGAGCAAACTCAGGCTCTAAAACATATTTCTGATACAGGGAGGGAACTTATCACTGCTGGTTACAGAACTGGCCCTTACTATTCCTCTCTCAATGCAGCAAAGTGTTAGTGCCTGCAGTTCTCAAGTACTTCAGCAACTGCACATCATAACTCTGAGGAAACAACCAGAAATTTTATCGCTTCTTCCCTCATATCAGAAGGGGGATCTGTGAGTCCAGAGTTTAAGTGATGTGCTGGGAACATAAACCCTATCTGGTGAAATCCAGTCATGGTACACAGGATGTAAGCATTTCTTCAAAGTTTTGTGCTTAGGTCAGCAGTAGAAGTGGGTAATTAACATATATCCACTTTAAGGAACGCTTTGAAGTCTGCAGGTAAAAAAGCATTAGAAGAGCACAGACCACTTCTGTTAGCCACAAGTTTTAGATGTGGTAAGAGGGACAAAGAGAGGTCCAGTGTCTTGGCAGAAAGTCAGGCACTGTGGTCTCATGGGTTAGACACTGGCTGCAGAACCAGGAGGTATGGACTATAGCATTGCAAATAGGTCCAAGAAATGCTCTTGCTAAATAGTCTTGCTTGAACCACTTTGGTACAACCTGCTCCATTATAAAGACATATAAAATGAAATACAAAAATTTCTCCACAACTTTCAGAACTGACTTCAGTGAGGATGCATGGGCTGTAGAGATGACCCTACCAGCCATCCAGCACTTCTGCCCTCTAGTATTCAAACACTCTGAGCACAGTGAAATCATAGACTCTCAGGGATGAAAATTGCAGCACAGCAATGGGCAAAGCAAGTGGTGGGAGCCCAGAGACCCACAGAAAAGCTGCAGCAGATCGTCAAAAGTAGACAACTAACGTAAGTGCAAAGTTACCCTTACACTGGGATGCATTTCCTTTAAAGAAAAAACAAAAAGCCAACAGGCAGTATATTTGTCTAGGGAAAGAATCAGTGTTTGGGATTCAGTTGATGATGGTGGCAAAGGTTCATCTAGTCGCTGTCTCTGCATCCCTACCTGCATTTCTCTGCTGGAAGTAATCACGAGTATCAGTTCCCATGCAGCTTAATGCAGATGAGATTAGTGCTCAGGGACTGCCCAGTTCTGTCAAATTGTAGGTGCCAGCAGCCTTGCACCCCGGTAATTCGCAGTTAGCAGTGCATGCAAACAGAAGTCTGTCTGTCGCTTTCTTTTTTTTTTTTCCACCTGCATTATTAGTCTGCAGTATTTATGTGTGGCAGCGGCTAACATCATCCTGAAGGGAGATCAGTGTCAATGGGGAAAGGCTGCACCTTTTTTCTTCCTCATGTCATCAGCCAGGAGTAGTACAAAGTATGTATGTGCAGACTTGTGACTGGCTATAAGTCCGTAGCCAATAAATCTGTTCTTCCTTTTTTACTTTTTATAAAACTTAAATACTGGAGACGAGAGAAGACCCTGAATTAATATTGAACTATTTCCTTGTCCTTTCTGCCTTTAAACCCTTTTTTTTCTCAGGGGCCTCTTTTTGTGCAAGGCATTTGTCCAGATACTACTTTTAAGTCTCATTAGCAAATGAAATCTCAGAATATTTTCCAAAGCTCTACTCTGGAAACAATGAGTTGTGGTGTCTATTAAAAATAGAAAGTTAAGGATAAGGAGCTGAATTTGAATCTGAATTTCAAATGATGAGGTGCTAGACTTTGACCATATGCAGCAAATAAATTCTAAACCTTTGCAATGATATTTTTCAATCAGTTTTACTTTATTTTTAGATTAAAATTTATGAGATTAAAAAAAAGAAAACAACAGAAAATGAAATGGAGGAGGAATCCAGCTGGGCACATGTTCTGACAGCCAGAGGAAAAGCTCAGGGTAGAAGAATATTCTTTGCCCGTTTGCTGCAGCTGAGGTGCACTGACTCATCACTGCTCTCCAAAG